TCTGGGGATACATCAATAAACATTCTTCTAATTACATTTTGTTAAAAAATATAACAATTCATCAGTATCCCAATAGATGGTGGCATCAATTGCATTCTTACACTGTCCATGATTGGCTGAAAGTCAGCTGATTGGGACATGACCCTGGTCACAATAATGTATTTAGCAATGTTATCAATAGTTCTTTGTGCAAGCTTTTGATTACAATGCAAATCACTAAGATAATGAAATAATGTTTTCATTTCATTTCCAGGACCAGAACACTCCATTACATCTCGCTGCCTTTAATGGACGCACACCTACAGTGGAGGAGTTACTACATAAAGGTGCTAATGTGAATGCTGTTGATAAAGTGAGTGTGTTATCTATGCAAGTGTAGTATATCAGTGTGTATACATGTGCTATACCAACTCACTCGCATGCATATTTCAGATTTCTTGTGGAAAGGTGTTATTTTTGAGACTTGGGAAGAGAACCAGTCATAAATGATTCTTTGAGGTAAATTAAATGATTTTCTCGATGAATTTAAGAAAAATATTTGGTAAAGTTCAAACGGTAATATATCTGGCAAACGAAGGAATGGATCAGTTTGTAAATATTCATTTTCAGTGGGCTAAACCTGCCTACTGTTCTTATCCTTAATATGTGTACTACTGTACACTCGGTGATTTTCTCATGTTGTAACAGCTGTTGTACATACTTCCAAGTTAACCTAACCTGTACTTCTGATCACTGCCCAATTTTAGTCTCATTATTTCTGAATGTGAATGCAATGACTAATGCAAATTAAAAAACTCACACCGTTACCAGCTAAAAGTATATGGGACAACGAGACAAAAAGGAAATTTATTTCATGTCTAGAGATTTAATTAATACAATTACTAATACTCGTAATAACTGTTGATTTAGCAGTTAATGAATTTTAATAGCAATATTTTAATAACCTCTAAAACTAAAACCATCAGGAGGATTATAGACCTGAAATGAAAAAAAAAAATATGAATAAAAATTTAAAAACTGCACTAAAATGCTTCAAAGGTTTTTTAAGGGATTCAATATTTCGTGGTAATTAAAAAGACAAAAAATGATTAAAAACTTCCACAAGATTATATACAAGTTCACTTACTTTGATACTTGGTATATGTGTACTTTAGGTGGACATCTAACAAATTCATCGATTTATTTTGGGATATCTTCAAATCTCTAATTTTGATGAATATTTTTGGTAAAAAGTGATATTTTTATAATGGCCTAGCGGTGGCCATTTTGTTTTAATTAATGCTGTTCAAGAGCAGTATCTGTCATTATGGACAAGTACTCGTTTGACGATCAGATACAAAATTTCAATCATTTTAATGTTAAAAAATCATCATAATCAAGCATCAGCTTCTGGATTCATATCATGGTTGTCTAGGTTAGGTCTAGAGTACTAGTGTACATCCACATATAAAAACAATTTGTAAGTGTACATAAAGAGCCACAATGATACTTTACTATACAAGCCCTTGTTAAGTAACTTGACCGGGTTTACATAAAATCATGTTGAATCACAGTTGGGGTCACTCACTCTCATGACTACAATGTCTAGAAGACGAATGTGCTGCATTGTTTCTCTTGTCTTGTGTGTTTTTTTTTTTTAGCCCTTGCTGAATCTCCGATCCGGGCGGGGGTAGTAATTTGGGTCGTGTCTGTGCATCCGTGTGTGCACATTTTCACGTTACCAGCTTTTTCTCACACATGTGTGATCCAATTCAGTTCAGAGCTGGTACAGAGACAGGAATTGATGGTGCTATTATGCACATCAAGTTATTTTTTCGATTCTTCAAAGTTTCACTGTGTTTTTTTTTTATTTTTAACATTTTCCCTTCAAAACTGCTGGAAAATCCGACTTGTCTCGAAATTACCCGAGTTTAATCCGAGTCTTGATGACGCATACGCAGTTCTTGTCTCGGTGGAAATCACAGTCATTTTTGTGTGAGGATATTGTATCCCGGAATTGTATCATTATTTGCGCAACGCTTATTTGGACAAAATTGTGTCTCGTCAATTTCAAAGGTAAGAAACTGTGCTTGTTATAATATTTATACACTTTGAATTATCGTAAATTGAAAGTTAACCTCGTGATTTAAGGTAGCGAGACTATTATTTGTGTTGAAAATTACGATTTTCACATTTATTTATTAATTGATGAAATGCGCCATAAACTTTCATATGATAAAGTCAATATAACATAGAATGTCATGTAAGTTGGTTAAAATATAGATTTTCTGAAG